TATTTTTGTGTAAAAACATCTTAACTATCCATGTAAGACAAGCTAAGAATGACGAAGTTCAAAATTGGGTCCAACTTGGGTGAGGGACTTTATAGAATAAATATCAATGTCAATCCTAAGCACATGTAAATGTAATCGATGGCAAATCTGCTCATTAATCCATTATAAATTAAAATGTAAATGCTGCATCGGTGGTCACCGAATTTAAAAGACCCAAAAGGTATAAGATGTCAAAACGACTGCCAAATTTTAAAAGACGAGGAAATAAATATTCTAATCAATGAAATAGCTGATAGGTATTTGCAAATGATAACGAAATGGAATGAGTGCATATAATATGTAGAGAAAAAAGCTGAGCAGAAATCGATAGCTTTGAACACAAGTGTCGCTACTGGAATTGTTCCACTCAACTTTTGTTAAAAAAAGTCAAGTGCTCGTTAGGAGCGCAGATACCTGCAAAACAATCTGCAGATTATCTATAATCAGAAAGCAATACAGGCTAAGTTACAGTAATCAAAATGTATTTACTTGCCACCATGCCAACTCAGAATGTCGGTTTCCTGGAACTTCGACACCAGCAATCCGGAGCGCCAGGTGCAAAATAGCGACTGCAATGTGATCTGGAGCAAAGGCTAAACATAAAGGAGCCTGGTATGAATCAGCCAGAAGAGCCCAAGCTAAACCGGGTAAACGAGCTAATGCCATGCTGCCGACGGGCGGAGGCCCACATGAGCCTGGGACTGCACCTGCTGCTGTTGCGGCCACGGGCGGTTGAACTATCTGATGGGCAACGCCCTTACCGAGCCAATGTAGTAGAGCCTGCATATAGTGAAGGAGATATGCGTGAGGGAGTCGAAGTCGACGCACATGGAAACCAAGAAGCCTCATTACTAAAAGCTCAGTGTGCACAAGACTCTCACGAAGTCTATCATACTCGTCACCAACCTCCAGGCTGTGTCGACGATGCTTATGTAGAGTTCTAAAATAAGCAAGAAATATTATAGTGAGACAGAGGATAAAAGTATAACAAAATCAAAGAGGAAGAACAAAGTTATAGATTTGTAA